CACACAAGTACAACTTATCCCTGATTTTCTACCCACCAAAGGGACAACAACAAGTGGAGGTCATGCTATTGATTTAGGAGAAGAAGACAGGAAGTTTCCTTATGTCTACATTCAATGTATTGTGTATTTCTTCCCCCTTCCCCTGCCTATATATAATCAGGCCTTATGGCCATTGTAACACATCTTTGAATATTGAAAACCATTTACTCTTTGAGTATTATTAAAATAGTGTGATGCTATTTTAGCCAAATTCCTAATTCTATATCTTAAGAGTGGTTATCTTAAGTGTGAGTTTTAGGTTCTAGATATTTGATTAAGTGTGTAATATCTTAATTGAATTCTAGATTCAAACCCCAAGTTAGGATAAGAGGGTGTAATATCTCCTAACACCAACTTGGTTTTATCCATCCGTGATATTTCTTCCATTTCATATCCCTCCATTTCTCCTTCTTAATCCTATTCTTTTTCTTCCATAAAATACCAAAAAAGAACTCCTAAAACACCCTCCATACTTTCGCCCACTATTTCCCTTCCATTTTCCTCCGCACATCCGCCACTAAATTATCAACTTGATAAGACCTTCGGTTTACCCCTAACACTTAATTTCAAACCAATGGGGCATAGGGCATATATAATTCTTAAAAAATGTTTAAATCATGCTATGCAAAAGTGATGTCGCATAGAATTGGAGACTTGAATTTGGATATGAAGTAACACCTTGTTTTCGTTCACCAAATAAAGTTCATGGCTTCATTTTTAGTTTGTCCCTATACTTAAATTTCTTCAATAATTACATTCTTTTTCATTGTGTACCAGACCAAGCACAAAATCAACAGAATGTGATAAATGGTACAGAGTAACAATCAGTGTTACCACTTCCCAGCTCTTTTTAAGGTATGGATGGGGAATATAGTTCATCTGGGGTTCTACTGGCTACAGAGTACAGATATATCAATGGACTTTGACAGTTGATAAATGATAGAATAACAAATAGCGCAATCACTTTTTTCTTTTTCAAAGCAGAACACGTGTTGGGTTATGTTGTTTATCAATCCTTACCGTAGATCATCACCCTTGGAAACAGTGGTGCGACGACCTGTTGCTGAGGTTCCAAACCCAGTTGCTTCCACTCCAAAATTGCCAAGACCAGATCCAAAAAATGTCTCAAACAGATCAAAAGGGTTTGTCTGCAATAGATTCAAACAAAAAATGTAACAGGTGAATCAGGATTAAAAAAGGCTTTAACATCAATCTAGTTGACATCATGAGCACTATAGCTAGCATATCACTCTATTAAAAGTAAAATCAAGCAATTCAGTCTCCGTGGCTTTATTAAATATTTTTTTTAAAACCAAGAGATCTTGCTATCTTGTTTTAAATTGAAAGAAGAATGAGCATGGTGCCACTTTTAAGGCTAGCAATGTCAAATATACAGAGATTAATAAAATTTACAATTACAACATTTTATGTTAAAATTTAACTAATGGTTTCAAATTACAAAAGATTTTATAAATTCTAAGCATGGCCAAAGTAAACTTTTGCTCACATAATGGCCATGTTGGCATTGTTGGGCTTCTTCTAAATAAAGATCACACAATTATATAAAATTCAACTTTTTTTCTTTTGGAATAAAATAAAAACAAAAGTAGAACCTAGGATCCCTTGACATGGTTGCTATGCGACTATGGGTTATTGGGCTATATTATCTGCAATGGAAATGAGTGAACCTCAGCTGAAATTATCTACTCCATATAATTTAGACCACATAGAGAAACCAAATAAATTTGAAAATTTGTTTTTATGCTCACGATAAAAATGCAAGAGGTCAACAAAAAGGATCAAGATTGAAATTGTTACTAAAGATCTGTTAGCAACTTAGCATATAAAGCAACAGTTCAAAATAGATTTGGTTCTTAATAGAAGTAAAGCTTTCATAACTTTCATTGTGAAAATACAAATCCAAGCAGCTTTTATAGTTCTGAAGAAGGAGAATTCAAACAAGAGAAAAACAGCCCAGGAAAGCATGTACCATGGAGTTCCTTAAGATGGCTAAAAGCTGTTACGTGATAATTGTCAAATATTCACACATTTTGATACTTGTTAAGTGTATACCACACATAATAGTATTGATAATCCAATCACACAATAACAAAAATAACACGCCTTCCTGACATGATAAGCACAAATGCACAATATCACACCAACCCATACCCACTTTACTGAGGATAAATGTCATATGCCAGAGCAAAGAAGAATACACAAAGAGTATGATATGTTTTACCGCATAAGATCCACCTTGAGCCCCTACATTACTTCTAACCCATGCATCGCCGTATTGATCATATAAAGCTCTCTTTTTGTCATCTGATAATACCTAAACAAGATTGTATTTCCAAAATAAAGACTTTATTAGAGCAACAATTGCTACTTAGTTGACAACAATAATATTCTCAATGATAGAGAATACATGGTAAAAATAACTAATTAACAAAGGTAGCAGGATATTAGTCTAATTCTTACCTCATAAGCATCTTTAATCGCCTTAAATCTCTGAGTAGCTTCAGGGGCCTTGTTGACATCAGGGTGGTACTACAGAAGATAGAAAGAAAAAACAAGACAGAGGCAGACTATCAGGATACCTGAGAAGTAACTACTACTAAACTATTTCTGAAGTCTGAAACAATTGCCCGACAAAAAGAGGTTAGAAATCAGAAGTGACTACGTTGAAGAGCGAAAAAACTTAAAAAAGTACAAGGAAAGCATATAAACAGAAAAGTGTATTTGAATTCATTATTATGTGCACAACTATGGACTATAACATTTATAATCTTAACTCGTCAGTTTACTTTTTCAATATTCAAACTATGTCAGTGACAAGATCATTAAAAACGAATGGGCATGATAAATTGCCAAAAATGTCATACGGTCATACCCATATTTTTAACCAAAATAAAGAAAGATAATAACTACTTTTACAATAATAACTACTTTTACTTTTGATTAACACAGACTAATTTACATAAAATGGAGAAAGGAAAATTGTTTTAATGCAATCACCAGTTTGTTCCTTTACAATAAATATTATTGAAAATTAAATACAACAGGAAACAGTTTTTGACAAATAACAAGCAAAGGAAAAAAAATCAATTACATAATACTACCTTCGTCCCATAAATATTCATCCAATCTGACTTTTTGAGTCAGACTGGAAAAACTTTGATCATCATATAAATATATACTCCGTATTATACTGGACATTAGTACAAAAATGATTTCATTCTATTTGTCTTGCGGAAAACCATCTGAAATATATTTCTTTTTATTAATATGCAATGCAATTTTAATGTAACCGATGATTACAGTTTGTCTCGAGTGACTCAAAAAGTGAAATAGGACGAATACTCTGGAAGAAATACTAGAACATAAAATTGTTATTAGGCCCTGAACTATTAGCCTAATTATTGTATTACACCGGTTAATTGATATCATATTCCCATGCTGATTTATGTGCCATGTATGGATGAGACTTTGTTGCAACCACACATCAAGGCAAACAGAACTCAGGTGAAGGGCATGTTAGATAACAACAACAACAACAACAACAACATTACCCCAGTGCCTCAATGGCTCCCGCCCATTGCGGGGTAATAGGGGGTCGGATATTACAATATAGAATCTTTTCTAACCTCCAACTAATAGCTTAAATTTTGGTTGATTTGGTTCATTGACACAAAACACTGAGCTAGAATTCTATACTGGCAATTGACATTGCACCACTAACTATCCAAAAACAGCATCTCAATCATATAAAGCCATAAAGGCGTAATAAAATTTTACAATGCCACATTTGTATGATCTATTTTCTAACAGGAGAAGATTATGCAAATGAAAATCAACAAATGACCAAAACCCCTGGATTTGGTACCTCTCGAGCTAACTTCCGATAAGCTGCCTTAATTTCTTTGCTGCTAGCAGATTTGGAGACCCCGAGAGTGGAGTAATAATCAGCTCCGGCGGCGACGACCAATCTCCCGAAGCGCCTGGCAGAAACCTTCCTGTCGAACTGAGACGAAGTGGAACAAGAAGACAGCGAGAGGGATACCGGGAAACTTTTGTGCGACCAAAGAGAGGTCCCGCCGGCGAAGAAGCTAGAGGATGAAGAGGGGAGCGGGGGGAGGGAGGGGCGGAGTGGCAGAGCCGCCGTACAGGCCGTGGTCGCGGAAGTCATTGGGCCAAGTGTTCGACGTTTTGTCTATGAGAAAGTGAAAAATGGAGGGAGCGATTGGCGTTGCTGGACGCTGGTTATTGTGGTCCGGGTTTGGCAACAGCGATTTCCTATATGAACGTAAGGTAGAAAATACTTTAGTTTTAAATATGGAGAGAAAGAAACATTGAAAATATACCAGAATATAACTTTCATGTTTTTATTCCTGAAATAGGACTTACATTACCAAACATGGTCATATACATTACCAAAAAAGTATAGTATTGTTCACATGTACACTACCACATTACCAAGTGCAAAGTCACATTACCACAGTACAAAGTCTTATTTCGAGAAAAAAACATGAAAGTCATATTTTGGTACTTTTCTCTATGTTCTAGTCCTATTTAGGGTGATTTCTATTAAATATTAGTGTATTCAATTATGATTTTTTTGAATTTTAAAAGTCAATGGGTATTCAATTAGGATTTTAAAAAATTATTTAAAATTTAGAGGTATTCAATTGAGATTTTAAAAAATATTTTTAAATCTAATAACATTGAAAAAATGATAGATTTTCAAGGATTGTTATAAAAAATGGATTGTGATGAATTCTTAAGCTGAAGTATAAATAAAAAAGTTTTTTTTGCAAATCCAAAGAAAGGGCCAGGGATTTTGTGTGGAATCCAAAAGTCTCTTCTTTCGCCTCATCTTCTCGGTCTCCTCCTGCGGTGAATCTTCTTCTCTTTTTCCGCCAATCTCCTCCTCGGTCAGTGCAGGTTTTTCTCTTCTCTAACTTCCTTCCATCGTTCTCAAACCTTCACAGTAAGATCTTCTCTATCCCCAATGAACTATAATGAATTTTTTTTATTATGTAATTTTTGTATGGATATGATCTTCCGGCTTGAGAAATCTAGTCAATATTAGAATTCCAGACTATATTATGGTCCTTTGTTTATGCTTCCAAGTTCCAAACTTGTTTTCTCTCCTTCAATTTGTTTTTTTCTTTATTTTTTTATTTAACAAATCAATTGGTCACTCGTGTTGCATTTGTATTCCCCTCTATAACTTTGAGGGGAATGTTTCTGCAACATCTTCTTTCATTGTTTGAAAAAAGGTGTGTACATTTCAGAATTGCATTTGAGGGAATGTTTGAGTAGTTTGCAGCAATCTGCTAAAAGTCATGAGGTTTCCATGCAAAAAATAACACAAACCAAAAGATTAGAAGTACATATGAAGGAAGTGGCGTCATGGAAACGCTAAACGAAATATCTACAAGTTTTAAAGGAATATATAGCCTGCTAGAGAAAAGAGAAAGAGAGATAAAATATACAATTTGGGATGTCATCAAGGATTCCCGGGCTTAGATAAGTATATCCAGTTTAAGGCGGTTGAGTTGCTTGATAACAAAGGAAAAAAAGATGTCTTCTCGAAGATGTTACCTGAAAAATGGTTAAGTTAGATACACCACACGATGAGAGGATAAAATGAGAAGATATATTAAGATGAATGAAAGGATTATGCGACTTTATTTTAAATATGTGATTTATTTGGTCTAATATCTTCTTATGGTTAATATACACTAGTATTGTAGTTTTGTATTATATTTTTATGATACATACTCATATTCTGATTTTTGCTTGTTAACTATACTTTGTTCTTATTTAAAAAAATTATGTTTTTTCCTTGGTAATCGATAAATAAAAGAAGAAGTGATAGCGAGAGAGAGCTATATTATCTAATAACTTTATTTTTAATTTTTCTTTGATTGAGTAATGTCTTCTTTCATTTGTGTTGTCTTTTATCTTTTTATTGATAAAATTTTACATATATGAAAAATAGTTTAGAGACAATAATGCTTTGAGTTTAAAAACAAATTTATTCTGTGCTAATAAATTTATAATAATGATAATAATGTTTAATAATTTATTTTTATTATATTATATTATTTTTTAATTTAAATTTTTGATCAATTTCATAAATATAATTAATGTTAGTGTAATGCTAAATAATTCATTGATTTTATAGAATCGGTCGATTTTAATTAATCTATCAAAATCTTATAAAATCTAAATTGAATACATCCCCTTTAGTATACCCGTCACACTCTAGTAAAAGATTAGTAGACATTAATTACAATCATTTAGAGATTCAAAAATGTTTTATGTATATTCTTAATTGGGTTCTTTAATTGTTCGTCAAACATTAAAGTATTTACTATTGAATCATATTCTTCACTTTGGCAAACTCTTCCTATTTAAGAATGGTACGACACCATTATGACCCATAATTTTTAACAAGATATATATAATGAAGGTAACAATTGGGGAAACATTGATTTATAATGTAACAAGACATTACAAGTCAAACTGGCCAGATCGTGAGATCGACAAATACAATAAAATTACAATAAAATCAAAGGCATTTAAAAAACAATTACTTAGTGCGATTTACGATAACAGCAATAGCCACCGCCCACCACCATCGCAAGCACCAGAAACCCCGCCGCCACCACCATCGCGCCGCCCAATCCTTGAAGATATCCCTCACCTGCACCGGCTTCCGCCGTTCCGGCGGCGGCCCCGGCGGCTACTAATACTAGTCGTAGCGCATTTCGAAAGCTATTTCTTTCCACTTCTCTATACATGTTTGTAATTAATTAATTTACGCACCTCAGATATTCTCTACGCTTAATTCATTTTCTGGTTCCACGCGTTAGTTTAAATAGTACGTAAGTAAAGAGCTACCCATGCCACTATAGAGTATAAACATGCATAATCATGAGGTCCAGCTTTTTTTCCTTTTTTTGGTAGGGTGCTTCCTAGCAAAAAAAATTTATTTTTCGGTTCAATAATGATCTTTCCAGTTTGATTTACGAGGTTAGACTGAAATTATTTTTCAATTCAATTTATTTGATTATAAATATAAAATTAAGAAATAAAAATTATATATTTTAAAACTAGATTGAAAGTTCTACTCGGTACAAAACAAGAGGTGACATGAGTATATTATTTTACTCCGTATCAAATAACTAACAAAAATAGATAAAGAAGGTGTTTAAAATTTGACCATGTAAATAGTGACTGGAAAGATCATTTTAAGGCGAAGGGGGTAATATAATACTAGAGGAATTTACTTAAATAACACTAAAACATAATGGCTTTCCTTAAATAGCACCACATGTGTTTTTCTTCCCAATGTAGTACTTTTAGTCATTATGCATTAGTCATTATTCAAGCAAATATTCGTCATCATTGGATATTATGGACATTATTATGTGCTATTTAGGAAAAAACAATTTGAGTGTTATTTAAAGAAATGACTCAAGTTTTAGTGCTATTTAGTGCAAATATTTCATAATACTAATACTCACTCCGCCTCTAAATGATTTGCACTTTATGCAAAACGAATGAAATGAAATTCTAAGTTTTTAAATTCATTTTATTTAAGGTTTGATATATAAATACAAAATAAAACTTACATATTTAAAAAAGACATGAAAAGTTCTACAAAATAAAACATGACAAGAATATTTTATTTAATTAAATAATAATGAAAATATACAGATAATTAAAGATTCTCACAATTTTTAAATAGTGAATTGTGTAAATCATTTAAAGAAAGAGTATTTGAGTATTTGTTTACCATCCTCTTCTATAAGTACAAAAAGAATTGCTTGGAACTTGTGTCATGCCTGACCTCATTAGAATTAGAGTATTACGGAGTATATCTACAGCCAGCGGCGGGAGACTTTTAGCTATGAACTTTATCATGTGTCAACTCATTAGAATATACGGAGTACTCATCCCTCTAGATAAATAATAAATAATGTGGCTTGATTGAAGTTATTTTTAAAACATTTATTTTCTTCGTTGTCCCTAAATAAACTTCCATTTTTGACTTTTTAGGAAATTAAGAGAGAGATATTTTGGTGTTAACTTTCCAAAAATGTTTTTGATGTGATGTGTAAAAGTAAGATGTGATATGTAGATTATTAGTAAAAAGGTATGATGTGACAGGTACATAGGGTAAAAGGGGTTTTTTAAAGGAAAAGAGAAGTTTATTTGGGGACAAAGAAAAAACGAAAGAGGAAGTTTTTTTAAGGACGGAGGGAGTATATGAAAATTGGTACGAAATTAAATAATACTTCCTCCGTCCCACTGTCTTTGTCCGCTTACCTTTTGGCATACCATCCTATGCACTTCTTTAATCCATTTTATCTTGTAATTTATATATTAAAAAATTATAAAAATTATATATTAATAATCTATATATTGGATCACACATGACTATATTTAGGCTTACACATTGAGAGAATTTGATGAGTCAAAACGTTTAGATGAACAGTTCCAAAAGTCAAAAGTGGACAAAGACAGTGGGACGGAGGTAGAATAAATTACAAATTTATAAGGTATATGAAAAGATCTACAAAACTAATTCTGACAGGAAAATATTATTTTTTCAAATAGAACACAAAAATAGACTAACAAAGTGAATAAAAATTGACAATGTGAATAGTAACAAAAACTTTATTATTAGACAGAGGAGTATAACTTTAAGGGCACTAGAAATGGTACTCACGCCCAGCTCCGTCATCCCTCTTTTAACGCCCTAGGGGCGTGAAACACCGCCCCCATGGGGCTTCATTCAGGCGTTATTAGCATTGCATCAAACGTATAACGGGCGTTTTGCCCTAAATTTTTTCCTTCAAATGGTTACAAGCCGTTACAAAAATTAAAAAAAAAATCTTCTATAAATTAACTTATTTTTTAAAAAATAAAACTCACAAACAAATCTTTTTTCTTCAATTAAAAAAAAAACTAAACACCCACAAAATCTTTTCCTCTATCTTCTTCAAATTTAAAAAAAAAATATTTAATTTTTTTCATCTTTTTTAGCATGAATCTCTTCATCAGATTTAATTTTCCTTTGTCCGGTCTCAAGTCAAACGACCAAGTGAATATAATTTGCTTTCGAGAGAAGACATAACAAGATCAAGACTAAATATAATTTGTTTTAAGTTTTTAATTGATGTAATTTTTTTAAATTAAATGTTCTTTTTTATTGAAGGTAATTATTTTTCATTTAATGAATTATTGTCGTTTAAATTTAATTAAGTAATGAATTTTTATTAATTTAATTTTATAAAATATGTAATAAAAAATTAAAAAAATTAAGGTTTGAAGCCCCAGTGTGAAGCCCCGGGGCTTCATACCATTTCCAGTGAAATTGTGAAGTAAGTTAAAGCTGACGTAGCAGAGAGAAAAATTTTGAAGTCCCGGTTTGAAGCCCCGGGGCTTCAAAGGTATTTCCAGTGCTCTAATGAGAAGAATGCATCGCCTCGTTATAATCTAAGTTTTATTATTTCTTCATGATCAAGTTCTTGTGTCTGGTGTATATAAGAACTATCTACTCCGTTGCGCGTTACGATGTTTGATTGAAGTTATTTTTAGATCATTTATATAAAAAAAATGGTGTGAAATTTTAAAATAAAAATTACCTATTAAAAACTATATCAAAAGATCTACAAGACTAGATATGACATGACTGTATTATTTTATCAAGTGAGTAACGAAAATAGGCCAACAAACTAAAAAAAATTTGACCATGTGAATAGTGTTCGAAAAGTTTATTTGTAGACGGAAGGAGTATCTTCTTATTAGATAAAACTAGTACAATGGTATTTTCGAAAATAGATTCCAAGAACTCGAACATAACACTCCTCTCCAAAGATCATCTAAATTACTTGTGTGATTAATGAGAAGAATATGAGTAAATATGTATAGATGTTGTTAGAGTCTATCCCACATCACGAGTTGAATAAAAAATAATTGATATAAAACTTTGAGTTGAACTAAGTAATCGACTGAATTCAATCTTTTAATGTGCTTTAACCCAAATATCTTATGGCCAGTCTAGTGATCCATAAGACACTTGGATATAAGTATTTAAATTGTGACGAATAGAGTACATTTTTTAGGTATAGATATTCATATTAATTTTTAGATAAAACACAAACTATATAAGAAATCACTCTAAATAAGAGTAAAACATAGAGAAAGCATCAAAATAGGAGTTCAATATTTTTATTCCCTAAATAAGAGTTTGCATTGTGGTAATATGACACTGTACATATGCATTATACTGCACTTTTTGGTAATGTACACAGTCATGATTTGTAATGTAAATACATTTTAACTCCTATTTCGAAAATAAAAATATGAAACTCTTATTTTGATATATTTTAATATTTTACTCATACTTTAGTTTTTAACCAACCAATTTTCATTTATTTTTTGAAATATTTTTATAAATTTATAAAACAAGTATACTAGATATTACTCCGTACTTAACCCATTCCACCATGTACTTAGAAGTTTATTCTAAATTGAGACATTGAGATGATTCAATGTAAATCCATACTCATTTGAGTTCAATGTATGAAATGACTCATCTGCCCATACTCTTTAGTACAGTATTATACTACAAGTATATGGTTCAGCATATCAAGGCAACAAAAGACCAAGCAAACATGTAACATATGCTTCACTTCATGTTCAGAATTAGCTGTTTCCTGAGGTTAAAAACGTAAATTCAATACACCCAACAATTACTACAACTTTGTATTGGTAACCACAGAAGCTGGGCCGGACTTCAGCTTCTGGGCCATGGCAGCCTGATGGACCAGATCCTGGACTCTAGCAAATGCAACCAAGAACTCTGCAGCATCAGTTGGGCCCAACACCTTCTTAACAGTCATATGGATCGCTTTCATCCTCAGATTTTGGGCCTTGATGAGGACCTGATGGACCTTTCTGAACTCAGTATAAACACAGGCCAAGGCCACTCCATTCTTGCTCTTCCCCTTCCCCTTCTTCTTCTTCATAAGCCCAAATGGGAGATGGAAGATACAGTTGGACTGTATCTCGGCCATCTCCCCATCTATGACTGCCTCCTCCACCCGGAGCTCGTTGATCAGCAGGGGCAAAACGGTCTTTATGGGCCGGGAGTTGCGGAGGGTTGGTGGGAAGGCGGAGGAGGCATGGACTAGAGAGTGAAGGAGGCCCGGTATGGTGGAGGGCCTCCAATCCCCAAACCAATAGAGGGAAGCGAGCTCGCGGGGTGCGGCCCATTTGGGCATCAACAGTTGGGCTATGTCTTTGAGCTTGACAGAGATCTGGGCCTGATTGTATTGGGCCTGGAAACGGTTCAGCTGCTCATCAATCAGATCCTCAATTGACCATCTTGCCCTCAGCTGTTTCTCTAGTCTCCCTGCTCTCATCATCTGTTCATTCCTCCATAGCCCATATTGATCACCACAGTACTCTTCACCTGTTTTCAGTTGTAGTAATACATGCTTTCAGATTTAATTCCCAAGAAACTAAGAATTTTAAAAACAACTTTTTTTTCAGCAAATTCTTTTCAAATTTACAAGAAACTAAAATAAAAACTCATTCTTTTCAACATTTTGTTGAACTTTCAAAATTCCAAGAAACTACAATAAAAAAAATCATTCTTTTCAGCATTTTCTTGAACCTTCAAATCTCCAAGAAACTATAAGAAGAAACCATTCTTTTCAGTATTTTCTTGAACCTTCAAATCTCCACGAAACTAAGATGAAAAAAACCATTCTTTTTATACCGAGTATATTTTTCCAGCATTTTCTTGAACCTTCATTCTCAGAACACTCAACAACAGTGAGAGAAACTCTTCTTCGCCTCATTGACTTGGCAGAGATTTCATCTCCAAAGATGAAAAATAAAGAAAGAAAATGCTGCGAGTAGAAACTTTCATATCCATGAAATCAAAACAAAAACCCATTCTTTTCTCTATTTCCTCGAGCAGTCAGTTTCTTGAAAACAAAATTCATAAAAACCCATTCTTTAATTACCAAGAAATCCCATCACCCGATCAAAGTCAGTGGATTTTCACGCCCCAAGCATGACAAAAACAGAGAAAAATAAAGAAAAATGAACACTGAGAAACTTTAATCCCCAAGAAATTAACAAAGAAAAAACAAAGAACCGATCTTGCTATACAAAAGAGTTGCAGAAATCTTACATCTTTTGTAGGGCAGGCGTTTCTGAATGGCCATACAAGTCTTTGGCCCTGCAATGTCACTGGAGCAGTCTTCCTCTTCAACGAACTCATAACCCAAAGCTTTTCCTCTCTTCGTGAAAGTTGATCTGGGCTGTTTCCTGCAAGAATTCTTGTGTTTTGTGTCAGAAATTCTTGGGAAATTTGAACAAGAGAATTCGAAGAAGAAGAAGATAAAGAAGAAAAGAAAAAGAAAAGAATGGAGAGATTATATTACAGCAGTGGCTGAGATTGAGGCCTTCTCATTGTTAAGCTCATTCTTTCTTCTGACTCTGAGAAATGTGAAGAAGATCGCTCGTAATGGACAGGTGTTATATGTATTTATAGAGAGAATTTTGATTTATGGAGTTTTAAAAAATGTTAAACAATAAAAAATGCAGAGAATATGGTTAAAGTTGAAAAAAGAAAATACGGAGTAATAGTTTTGGGCAAATGGTCTGCTTTATTAAGAAACTAATTAAATAATTTGATCGTTAATTAAATAAAATTTATATTAAATATTAAGACAAGAATGATTTTATTAAATTTTTTTTGTAAAAAGTTAGAACTATGTGATATAAATTTTATATTGTCATAATTCAAAAAGTGAAATACGAAGATTAATTGGAAAGAAATCACCAAATTTTACATAGTATTATTTTCTGTTTGGGATAATCATGATTTTTAATAAAATAGAATTTGGATATTTACAAAGTACAAAAGAAGTATGGATTATTCAATCATTTTAAAAAAAAGGAAGAAAAATTTGGACAAATAAAATAGAAAAAAGAACAATATACTCCTTCCCTCACGAAAAGGTTATAATTTTCATTGGGTCAAAATTTATATATTTATGTGCTTACTTACACTATTACATACTCCATATTTGATAAAATAAAACTTTATGTTTTATTGTCTCCTCCTGTTTTTAGATTTTTTTTTATCAATTTTCATATACTCCCTCCGTCCTAAAATTAACTTCCCAGTTTGACTTTTGTAGTCAAACTTTTTAAACTTTGATCGTATATTACAGAAAAAAATACATTTAATTTTCATATAAATTTATTAGCTATGGATTCATTTTGAAACATATTTTGAAATATATAATTTTTATGAAATATATTTAAACAAAAAATGAGATATTGATAGTCAAAGTGTTACATTGAAGACCGTAAAAAGTCAAATAAGAAGTTAATTTTAGGACGGAGGGAGTAATTTGAATTGAGAAATAAATTAGTCAAATCATTGTCACAACAAATGGATTCTGATGTATATTGTTCAAAAAATAAATGACAAAGTTGATCCATTTAGATGTAGGAACATTAAACATTTTATATGATGATTTAACTATACACACAAATGAATTCCAGTCTTCCACTGGCTTTAGAGCATCAAGAAAACAAGAAGCAGAAGAAATATTTGCAACTGAAAAATACACCTAAAAAGAGGAGGTGACAAGTTCCCACTTGTTGATCCTCCCCACATATGTTCTTCCACTTTTCTCCCCACTTCAATCTCATTCTTTTCCTTCTTCTTCCCACAATGCCCAATCCCAGAAATGGCCTCAAGATCACCATCCCCGAGGGCATTTTCGTCACCATAACACAATCCTGAGTTGTTGGAGAGCCTCAATTTTCTCCTCATCCTCAGCACCATTTCCCTCTTGAATGGCACCCTCCCACTCAACTCGTTGTTCTCTAGCCTTAGCTCGTTGAGGTTGTTCGCCTCGCCGAGGCTCTCTGGGACGGGACCGCTCAGTCGGTTCCCGTCCAGGTGGAGCACTCGGAGACCGGTCAACTTCCCGAGCGACTCAGGAATGGGTCCCACGAGATCCATGTTCGACATTGCTAGGATGGTCAACTCGTTTGACCCGTCGAAAATGGATTCTGGGATCGTAGAGGACATCGAGTTCCCGCTAAGAATCAGAGCTTGAAGAGAATTGAGGTTCTTGAGATTGCTTGGAAGGGGAGATGTGAGTTTGTTGTGGCTCAAGTCCATTAGTATTATGTTCTTGAGGGAATCTATTGAATCCGGAATCGGTCCGGACAACCGGTTCCGGCTCAAATCGAGTTTTATCAACGATTGACACTTTGTGACTCTGGTTGGGATCGGGCCCACGAGGTGGTTTTGGTTTAGGTCCAGAGTTTGCAAGAGCGGGAAGGTTAAATTGGGAATTGAACCGGTCAGCTTATTCTCGCTCAGGTCCAGCGATTTCAAACTGGTAAGTCGGTTTAGGTGAACCGGTATTGAACCGTTGAGGGTGTTTCCGTGGAGATCAAGGACTCTCAACCGGGTCAAGTTCCCGAGCTCGTTCGGAATCGGCCCGACGTGCCCGTTTTCCCTCAGGACGAGGGTTCGGATACTCGGCCCGAGCTCTCCCAGGAACGGGGGGATCGGTTGGGGGTTACCGGCGAAACACCGGTAGAAGAACAGGGTCCGGAGGTGCGGGAGCCGGGTGACCGCGGGCGAGATGAACGGGCGGCCGCCCCCGCCGTCGCAGGTCGGGAATGCCGTGTCGTCGGACAGCGCGCCGAAGGACAGCGAGACGATGTGGAGCGCGCCGCCCGTGTCTGGCACGCACTCGATGCCGTGCCACCGGCCGCGGCAGACGTCGGGAATCTCCGACGCCCAGCCGTTGCCGGTGGCCCGCATGATCTCGCGCACCGCCTCCTGCTCCCGGGGGTCGGTCCGCGCGCGGTCGCCGTTCGCGGAATGCGTCGCCTGCGGCGCATCCACCAACGCGGACGGCGCGCCGGAGTCGGAGACGATCACCGTGTAGGAGTGGACAAAGATGGGGAGGATTGTGAAGGCCAGCATCAGGAGGGTTGTGGTTCGAATTGGGAAGAAGGTAAAATCCATTTTTAAACAGGGGAAGGATTTGGCGCTTATCAGTGGGGGGATTGGAATGGGATTTATATATCACTGGAAAATTTAAGAGTGGATGGAGGACGCTAATTATGAAGTCACGAGGATTGGGAGGGCATGTCGGAATTAATACTCCGTAAGTTTTTAATGCTCCATATTTATGTTACTCACGGGCTTTCGGCCTATCTTGTTGGCACTTGCGAATAATAATAATAATAATAATAATAATAATAATAATAATAATAATAATAATAATAATAATAATAATAATAATAATAATAATAATAATAATAATAATAATAATAATAATAATAATAATAATGATAATAATAATAATAATAATAATAATAATAATAATAAAAGTAATTTATTACACAATAAATATGATCGAAAACAAACATAAACCCAAGCATATGAACTCTTCAGCTCTGTTTGATACACAGAATTCAAATTATGAAATTAGAATTGGAGATAACAATTCGAATTCTGCTGTTTGGTACAACAAAAATATGTGGATTTAAAATTGGTAGTGTCAAGAATGAATTAGAAATGGAGAATTCAATTCCATCCAAATCAATTTTAAAAAATTTCAATTCTATCAATTCTGTATATCAAACGAACCTTTCGGATATTCACGTTTCTTAAAGAAGAAAAAGATTTAATATGTACAATACCACTTATTCAATTCTTTTTTTTGTTTGAAAGACTTATTCCATTCTTAATTTTAAGGAATGAGAACATTAATTAGGACAACCCAAGATGGAATTAATTTGGGAGGAAGGTTTGAGAGTGTTTGGGTTTGCATTTTAAAATACAGTAACTTATAGTTTCTACTTTACTAAAACACAATTTTAAATGTTTGCTAATTTGCTTTAGCTTATAGATTATGGCTATAGAAGTTAAAATTAAAATCTAGACTTTCTCGCAAAGCTAAAAATAAATGTGCTTTCTGCTTCTAAATTATCATTTATTCTTACATAATTCCCCTTTCCTTCTCTTGAATCCGCGATTTGAATTTCCAGCTTTATATTATACCCAGGGTAAAAATTTCCTGCATTTTCTTCCTCTGCTCATCTCCCTGCGTGTAACGATCTTCCATTTCGGTATTTCCTTCACTTCAACACTCTACTTACGAAGTACTGCATTAATTTTAGCTGTTTTCTTGTGTGCTCGTTTTCAAACGGTTATGATATATAGTGGCGCACGGATTCTCAATTGATTATTTTCTGTTTTTTGTTGAATTTCATATTAATTCAGGGATCTTTCTTCTGGGTATATGCAATTGTTTTTGTCTGCGTGAATTCACAGTGTTAATTAATTACATGAAAATTGTTTTTGCCCGAGCCTTATACGTGAAAATTATTATGGTTATTATTTTTTAAATTGGATGACGGGGGAGGTTCGAATTTGTGATCTCTTGGTCAACAAGGCTCTTATGCAGTTATGCCTACCATGTCAAGGCTCTTGCCCTGGAAGGATTTTATAGTGTAACACATTTGATGAGCGAATTGGAATGGAACAATTAAAAAGGGATTGAGTGGGTTTTGTTTAATTTAGCAGGTGTATATTAGCCCATAAATTAATACTAATGATTATTTATATATCATTCATGAGTGAATGAATCCTCTTGGTAAGAATGTATTGGTGGTCATATTTTGGAATAGCCGAATAGGGCACATGTTTTACTACTTCAGTATGATTTTCTATTTTACTTTTGGTATTTAAGGTTTTATGTACATGCTCTAAGTTCTAACATTTAATGTGTTTGAGCCGAGGTCTCTTGGAATTGGAAACAACCTTACTACTTCCAGGTAGGGGTAAGGTCTACCACCTACATACACCACTGCACCACCCTCTTGAAACCTTTACTAGTTTTGTTGTTATTGTTGCTCTAAGCTCTAACATTATTTGCCAAAAGATGTGAAACTTTAGCCAGCCTTCCATTTGTGTGAATATGTTTCATTAAATAAGTGTGATGTTCTTTTTTATTCAGCTCACTTATCTGCCTATGACAGAAGTTGCACTTACTAATCTGTTGCTCACTTATTGCTGACTATACCATGGATTTTTTTACTCCACTAGCATTTATTTCACTTGCATTTCTATGATGGCTTCATGCGTGAAGTGCAAGCCTCTCTCATTTTGTTAATTCCTTTTTTAATTACATAAGATCAAGCTATTGCCAATTTGATTGCGGAGCAAGCTTTCAGATACCATGAAGAAAAAGATTTATGCAGAATATGATTCTCTTGGGGAAGGCAAGATAAGCCTCTGCCGACTGGGTAAGAAAATCCATGCTGCTCTATTTATAATATGAATTATCTGAGGTGTAATGTCTATATAACTGTTTTGCCAACAAGTTCACAAAGGATAAATACATGTCGTTTGAGGCCAAGCTTCAGAAACCTTATTTGTTGCATGGTAGTTCATCATGGTGGCATTTTAAGAAAGAATTCATTGCTGTTGTTGTATTTCTTTGTAAAGTCTCTTTAACTCTTTAGCAGAGCCTTATGAGTAGAGTAGGGTATTTCTTGTTGTATACTACGTACGAACCAAGTTCCTAGAAGAGGAGAATTGATCATTGCTTGACTCTTATACAGTTTGAGGGGTATATTGGGACTGGTCCCTACAGTGATTCATCCCAATATACTCGGTTCACTGTAAATAATACTAAGCTATTGTATTCATCCACCTAAGCTACACCTTTGGTAAGTGGATGCGGCTCACATGAAATGGGTCAGTCCAACTAGACCCGGAAATGAGGCTCACAGTCTGCCATGTGGCGGGTACTGGTAGAGGTAGGCACTGGGGCTAGGAGTCTAGAGCTAACCTCCTTGATCTCCCCCACGACCCCCCATTATCTCCCATGATCACGCCACATTTCCATGTCTTCCAGGAACATGGGAGACAGTTTCCTGCAATTAACCTTCTTGATCCACATAAGTATAATGCCTCTTAGCCTGGAGAAGAGATCACACTCTTGAAATACTTAGGGCATATTATTGCTTCATCTCTCCCATATTCTATTGCTTTTGATCTAATTATTACCCAGTAATTCTAATATTCCGGTGGATTAATATCCACCGCAGTCATACATGACTCTTTATTTATAAGGCCTTCTCTGATTGTGATGAAGTGAGAAGTCATCCTTTTGTTGTCTGATATTCAATTATTGCTAAATGCAAAAATGGTTGAAAATATTTTTGACTTGTTTCAATGTTCTTTTTGTATTCTCTGGACAAGATGCATGCACTGTTGGCAACATATATGTTCTATGATACAAAACTTTGGCTTTTGCTAGTATGATAGTTCGATGTTATGCCTTTTTGATCTTGTAACAACACAAAAGAAAAATGAACGAGCCAATAAGACCATTCTTTAGAGATTATGTGGGTTCTCCTCTATCAACCTACATTTTAGATTCCTATCCTATTTTATTTCTACAAAGTTATTTTGACATTGGAAGTTATGAAGTTTGCTATGTAAATAACCTCTATCCTTAGTTTCCTCTATGCTCTTTGTGATTGCTTTGTTCCTACTTTGTTTGTGTCCTTAGGTCTACTTTGTTGTTTTTTTGTGCTTGAGTTGGGGGTCTCTTGGAAACAACCTCTCTACTTTCAAGTAGGTGTAACGTACACACACCCTCACCAGACCCTATAGTATGTGGCATTTTACAGGGTTTATTGTTGTCCCACAGTAATTGATGATTTAGAAAAATGCACACTTATTAAAAGGCCTTAAAGTTACTTATCTGCCCTATATGAGTATAATGTTAAATGCATTTTAATCCCAAGATGATTCAATTTAAATCCATTCTTTTGAGTTCAATGTAAGAAATGACTCATCTACCCATACTCTTTAGTAGTACGGTTTTGCATATGATTCAAAGTAAATCCATAGTAAGAATTAGAGACACCACACTGCTCTGCCATGTGCGCTTTGTTACTAATATTTATAAGGTGCAAATTATTTAATGTAGGGAGACTCAGTCGGGAATATTTGGAAGATTTGTAAAAATATGCATGTAGGTCATAAAACAAAAGTGTTTTGAGGGCTTTTTTGGTGGCTAAAATGCCAATAAATATGGGAGTAGTTCTTAATAGCAGACTGTTAAATGGACAACATAATGTCACAACGTGCTCTTGTCTAACATTGTATCAGGCCGACTGTGTGGGAGGCACAAGGATACATATATGCTTGAAGCTTGAGAAATATTCAATACAACAAAAGACCAAGCGAAAATGTAGCAATTGCTTCACTTCACGTTCAAGAAGTAGCTGGTGCCTTGCAGACTCATCATTGGTAAGCATTTTTTAATTACTCTTATATCATTATTAAAATAGCTACTATATTATTGCTTCGTTCCACATCTCGCAAACTTTATTCTTGGATTCGTATGTTATATATATGGGAATAAATACATTACAATATTTCCAAACTTCTGGTGCTTATTCCTGGATATTTGTTACATTTATGGGAATAAATACTTCATAATATTTCTGAATCAGCTTGATGCGGGACGGGACGGAAGCGACGTTTCGAGTCCCTAGGATTCTTCCGTATGAACAAGCGTAGGGATAGGGTGATTGTAAGGCTCACTACTCTATAACTTTGGCACCTCCATGATGGCAACTCCAAAGGTGTACTTTTACAACTCATAAGTTGTTGAAACTCTTACGAATTTCTCTACCCACACAAGATCAAAATAATAACCCACACAGGATTACAAAACACATAATCCCTCCGTCTGGAAAAGAAGTTCCCACTTTGACTCTTCTCCATTTTTAATATGTGTTGAGCAAATGCTTGTATTGCCTATAATACCCTGCTCCTGCCCTTGCTTTTTCATCTGAAACCACAGCCCTCACCACCATTTCCTCAACAGTCAACTCTAACCAAATCGGTAATTAAGGTCAAACCTCCTCCCTCAAACTGTCAAACCCAACATTGCCCTATCCCCACCACCACAACCACCCCAACCATGCCTAGCCCCAACCACTGTTAGCCCTACCTGAAAATTGCAACGGAAAGAGCCAGGGGTTTCCTGAAAATCAGATGTTTTTGGATCGAAACATGAACGACTATTTGAATATTCATAGTTTAAACGATAAACCGAGATCAA